TTGTGGTGACCCCCCATTTCATTGTTACAAATTGAACATAATTAAAGCATAGTGATTAATCACAAAAACAATACGTAATTATATATGTGTTTTCCAATGGTCTTAGGCGACCCCTGTGAAAGGGTTGTTCAACCCCCAAAGGAGTCGCTACCCACAGGTTAACCGCTGCTGTGAAGGAACAAAGCAGAGAGCAGGAAAGAATCCAGGAGAGGAGACTGCTAGGGCTCTGATGGTCAAGGTCAGATGGGACCCTTCCAGCTGGTGGGGGAGGCGATGTCCAGGCACACCCTGAGGGTGCCCTGGCCCTCCACCCTGAGGGTGCCCTGGCCCTCCGGCAGGAACTCCTCCCACGCCCTTCCTCCCTTGGGCTTTTGATGCAAGAGTGCAAAGAAGACCTCCTGCCTGGGGCTCTCCTGGCTTCTCTGTTCGCCAAGAGAGTGCCTTTTAGGGGAGTGCCTTTGAGTGTCTCATTCAAAGCACAGCCTTAGGTTTCTGGTCTCCCACCATATTGGGCAGAAGGTTCTCCAGGGCCTGCCGCCTTCCCGGCCCACGTGCTGCGGAGGCTGGGGTTAGTGAAAAAGGATCCTGGTCAGCTTGGTCCCTGCAGCCTTCATCATGACCTCACCCCAGGCTGGCTAAGAGGGCTGAGTCCACAGTCAGACCTGCCTGGGCTCAAATCTCAGCTCCCCAACGACCAGCTGTGTGACCTCGGGTAAATCACTTGCCCTCTCTGTGCCTCAGTTTCGTCCTCTATAACATGGAGATGATCACAATGCCTGCCTTAGGATTGCTGCGAGGATTTGATGGATAATGTGTATAAAGTGCTTAGCACAGGGCCTGGCAAAATAAGTAGCCAATAAAACTATTGTTGTAGTTGCTATTATTGTTATTGTTACTATATTATATTTTTTAATATATTTTTATTGCTTACAGAGAGGAAGGAAGAGGGAGAGATAGAAACATCAATGATGAGAGAGAATCATTGATCAACTGCCTCCTGCAGGCCCCCTGCTGGGGATTTCGCCCGCAACCCGGGCATGTGCCCTTGACTGGAATCGAATCTGGGGCCCTTCAGCCCACAGGCTGCTGCTCTATTCACTGAGCCAAACTGCCTAGGGCTATATTATCTTTTTTTTTTTACCTGAATTACTACACCAGCTTCCTAACAGGTTAATAGGTTTCACTTCTGCTTCCACCCTGGCCCCACATTCTGTTAAAAACTAAATTAGAGCCCAGCTGGTGTGGCTCGGTGGTTGAATATCACCTATGAACCAGGAGGTATTGGTTTGATTCCCGGTCAGGGCACATGCCCAGGCTTTGGGTTCAATCCCCAGTGTGGGGTGTGCAGGAGGCAGCTGATCAATGATTCTCATCATTGATGTTTCTATCTCTCCCTCTACCTTCCTCTCTGGGAAAAAAAAAAAAAAAAAAAATATATATATATATATATATATATATATATATATATATATATATATTAGAGGCCCGGTGCACAAAAATTTGTGCACTGGGCGGGGGGGGGGGGGGGGGGGGAGTCCCTCAGCCCAGCCTGCACCTGTCGACTTAGGCCCACTCCCTGGGGGATCAGGCCTAAGCTTGCAGTCAAACATCCTTCTGGCAGCCAGGGAGCCCTCGGGGGATGTCCAACTAAAGGCTTAGCCCACCCCCCCCCCCCCAAGGGATCAGGTCTAAACCATTAGTTGGACATTCTTAGTGCTGCCACAGAGGTGAGAGAGGCTCCTGCCACCACCATTGAGCGTCTGCCCCCTGGTGGCCAGTGCGCATCATAGCAACCGGTCATTCTGCCGTTCAGTCAATGTGCATATTAGCCTTTTATTATTATTATATAGAATGTCCCTATTTCCCCCCTTTTGCCCCCTCCACCCAGCTCTTGCCCCCCACTTCTCTCTGGCCATCACCATACTGTTGTCTGTGTCCATGGGTTGTGCATATATTTTCCTTGGCTAATCCCTTCTTTAAATTCACTTCTTTAAATTCTTATTTTCAGATAAGTGCTTATAACTGCACTATTATATATTTTCTATTATATCATTTAGAATTAAGATATCTTTTCATTGAACCCTGGTAAATTTTAGCACAATTTAATAAATTATGCTAGAAGCAATTAGATTTTTCATGTAATGCATACACATTTCAATTAATATTTTATTAATTTTTAATTTTTTAATATTTTAATTTGAAATAATCTCATACATGTAAAAAAAAACTATAAAATACTACGGCATATTATATGTACCCTTCACCCAATTTCTTAGGTGTTAATAATTTAAACATAACCATTATACAACTAACAAAATTTGGAATATATTTTTCTTATAATCTCTTTAATATTACTTAATCCATTTACTTTGTTTTTGTTAGTCTTCACCCAAGGATATTTTTGCATTGAATTTTAGAGAGAGTGAAGGGAAAGTGAGAGACACATTGATTGGTTGCCTCCTGCACATGCTTTGATAGGGACTGGGGATCAAGCCAGCAACTGAGGTACATGCCTGGGACCCTTCAGTCCACGGGCTAATGCTCTATCCACTGAGCAAAACAAGCTGCAGCTTAATTCATTTACTTTTAATCTATATGTGTCTTTATATTTAAAGTGGGTTTTGTTTTTGATTCACCCTCATAATCTGTCTTTTAATTGGTGCACTTATGCCACTGACTTTCAGAGTGCTTACTGATAGAGTTACTCCCATATCAGGCGGCTTCTGGGGTGGGCCTGCCTTGCCACCCGGGACTGGATCAGGTCCTGGGCAGCAAGGCAGGCTGGCTTCTGGGTCTTCTGGGGCCGGCCTGCCCTGGATGGCGGCAAGCTGGTGGCTTGCGCTGTCCCGCCCTGCCTGCAGTATGCAAAGGAGTAGTGAAGGTATGGTCAATTACCATGTCTGGCTATTATTAGAGAGGATATATACTTTTTAAACCTCTCTGGTCCCACTTCTGCCTAGCAATGAGGATTCTGGCTCAGAGAAAACACCCACACTCTTGCCTGCAAGGCCGGGTGTGACCAGCCCATCTCCGCTCACACTGCTGCAGCTCCCGGCTCCTCTTCCAACACCACGATCTGTTTCCGGGACCTGGCAGGCACGGCCCCACCGCAGGGCCTTGGCTCTTGCTGTTCCCTCCCCTTGGACTCTTTCCCCTCACAGGGCTCACTCCCACCTGTCCTTCATGTTCCCCCGGACAACTCCATCTGTGATTGCAGCCAGCCTCCATGTTCGCCTGCCCCTCCCAGCTTCCGCTTCCTCCACAGCCCTTATCGGTGGCTGACTTGCTTGATATTTCTGTTGATTTGCTTAGTGCCTGCTTCTCAGGCTTCCCTGAGAGCAGAGATTGTTGTCTAGCTCACAGCAAGTCCCCGACAAATACCGGTTAAGTGAATGAACAAGAGCTGGAAGGTCACTATATCTAAGAAATAGAAAACAGAGATAGTCATTCAATATTCTCTGAGTATTAGTCATGCTGGGCAGCTCCTTAGTTCTCTGAAAGCGACCAGGCCTCTTGCATGCAGTTCCCTTGCCCACTGTCATCGAAGTTGCCCCTCTCCTTGTCACTGATGGGTGTGTCCTTCCGTCCAAAGCACGTGGCAGTTGGTGTGGCTGGCCGAGCATGAGCCAAGGCAGGGGAGCCACGGAGGAGATGGGTCATGCTGGGCCCACCATTGTCCTGTTTTCCAGATAAGGAAACAGAGACTCAAAGAGCCAAATCACACAGCTGTGCGAGGGCCGAGATCAGAATCCAGAGAACTCGGCTCTGGGGGGGTGGGGCGTGGGGATTTAGGCTTTCAGTACAAGGGACCCATTGCCCATAAATGAAACCCAGGCTCCTGACCTTCCTGCCTGCCCCCATCGTCCCATCAAGCCCACTCCCTACTCCAGTCGGATTGGCCCAGGCTCATTTCTGCCCCAGGCCCTTTGCAAAATCTGTTATCTACATGATGTTCTTTGGGTATTTTTATTGCAGTCCTGTGCCACTTTACAGGGACATTCTGAGAAGGGGCCTTAGGCGATGTTGTTGTTACACAAACCTAGAGGGTATATATAACCTGCACACCTAGGCTACAAGCCTGTTCAGTGTGTTACTGTACAAAACCTCACTAAATTAATTCACGTACGAGAGAAGATGATGCAACCAAGAGATGAGGGAAACGAGATGAATGAGCTTGAGGCTGCTGCCGACGTAACATGGCGTACTGCCTTACAGAAAGCTTTTGTGTTAACAAGGAGAAAGAGCACACTCCAAAGTAATACAAAGCATAGTATAGTAAATGCACAAGCCCGCAACAGTCGTTGGTGATCGTGGTCAAGTACTACGCGCTGTACACACTTGTGTGAGCCGTACTCTCACTGGGCCGGCCGCGCACCAGCTTCGTTTACGCCAGCGTCGCCACAGACACACGAGGAGCGTGTTGCACTGTGACGTCACGAGGCGGCAGGAATGTTCAGCTCCTTAGAATCCCATGGGACCACCGTATTCTTTTTTTAATTAAAAAAAAAAATTTTCATCCATCTGCACTGGATTTCTTTCGGAGGGTGTGGGGTCAAGTAAGAAAGAAACCCAGCTTTATCTGCTTTTCCCGAATGGCAATGGCGGCTTCATAGCAAGGCCTGCTTTCTGCAGGTGGTTCTATGCAGGAAAACTACATGTTCGTAAATGTGTAACCGGCCTCCTTGCCGAGCTCTCTCATTAGTTTAATAGCTTCTCGGATGATAAAGGTAACCGGCTCCTGGGCATTCACCTCCGTCTTTAATTGTTTACTTATTCCTACTGATCAGGCGTAGCATTTATCGCCTCTACATCCAGCACCTTCTGCTGTCAGGGCTGGGACAGACCTTTGCCCCAAGTTTACTCCTGATCTTTTGGGGCCTCTGTGAGATGTCTCTCGATCACTGATTTTGTTTGATTTTGGTTTTTTATCAAATCCTAGTTGGGGCAGGGCCTGAGTTTCTTAGTTGGGGCATTAGCAGTAAAGGAGATAAGTACACTCGTTAAATTTTGGTTACTGTAATTGGTCAATATACAACCTTGGGTATACCTCTCTGTACACTTAGGCAGTGTTTTGCTGTATATAAAATAAGAGTGTCAAACAAAACAGAAGCTTATTGACAGCTTACACAACATTAAATAAGCAAAATAATTCAGTGGCAGGCAGAGCAGGGTGGTGTGGCGGCTCCCGGCCACGGAGTACAGGGGAGTTCTAGTCTCCATCCAGCCCACACCGTCCCCCGTGGGGCAGCGTGGCTGCTGGCGTGCTGGCATCACATCCGAGTTCTAGACAGCGGGATAGCGGAAGAGAACGGCACACTCCCTTACCTCTAAGGAGAGTTCTCAAGTCCCTTACCACCGCATAGTCCGGGCTTGACCACATGGCCATGCCTAGCGACCAGGGAGGCTGGGAAATGTAATCCTTTAACTCCGTGGCTGTTTGCCCAACCAAAATCCTGGTCTCAGGAACAACTAAAGAAGAAGGAAAGAATGGCTAATGAGCATGTGGCAGCCTCCCCCTTGGACTATCACACATGCTCTACCTGTTTCTTCCTGCCATCGTGTTTCACGGACGGTCATCAGAACTCTGCCCGAGTTGGCACAGGGCAGCTTTTTTCTATGGGACTCTGCCTGCTTCACACGCGAGTCCGGTCTCAGGCGGGGAGGGCAGCCGTGGCCTGTTTCTGGGTCTCGGACAGCACAGTAGGGAGCTGAGATGCGGCACCAGAGCTCCTGGCTTTGAGACCTGGTTTGGAGGTTCCAGAAGGGGGGCGCAGCTACTCGTATGTCCAGGACCAAAGAGTGGCCCTCTCCTCGATCAGGGAAGGTTGTCCTCTTCACCCGAGACCCTGCAGCTTCCGGGGGGGGATGCACATTGACTGGTGAGGGAGGATGGGGACACCCGCCTCACCAGCCAGGTCAGCTGAGTCAGCCTTGGAGATCCATGGGGTGACGGGTGTCGCAGCCAGATTGCCCTCGCATCCCAGAGCTCTTGGTCTTTGAAAGAGATCCTCTCCCTCCTCCTCTCCACCGATCCTCCAGGAAGACCTGCCCCCACTTTGCAGCCATTGGGTTACCTGCCCTGGCCAAGGTAGGGTGAGACACCCTGCTCCCCCCCCCCCCCCCCCCGCACACACACACACCTACCCAGCACACCTCCACCTTAGACTTAGTGGTTGCACTTGAGTTCTGCTGCCCATACACCTCTTCCTCATACCTTTCTCTGGGGAAAGCCCCTGTGGCTTTTCTGCTTTCATCTCTCAGAGCTCTGAACACAACGTAGGTGCTTAGTCATCCCTAATGGACTGGTAAAGAGGAAGTGATGACAAAATCTTGCCACCAGGAATTACTTGTGTTGTACCCAAAAGTGTGTTCAGGGCAGTTGCCTGTTTTCAAATGCAATTCATATATTTGCTGAAATATGAAAAAACAGTAATCAGAACAGTTAACGTTTCACTGAGCACTTACTCTGTGTCAGGCACTATTCTAACACTTTGCAAGTTCATGGTCATTACAGTCCTGATGTTGGTCCTGGGAGCTCCCCATTTTGCAGAAGAGGCGTCAGGCACGGGAGGCTGGCCTTCGCTCAGCGTGGAAGGGTTGAAGCTGGGGCTTGAACCTAGGCGTCTGGCTCCAAATTTTACTGCAAGAGAGAGCAGTAAGGTGGCTGGAGACAGTGCCTGGAGTCTGGGACTGAGAGAGAGGCCCACGACTGGATTCCAGCCCCCAGTTTGCCCCCAGCTAGTGAGGGATCCTGGGGGCTCAGAAATAAGGGGTCCCAGGGCCTATGGGGCCAAGTGGGGCCCAGGCAAGTACCGTAAGTGAAAGAGGGCCAAGAGTGGTGGTTGCCAGTGGGCATGTAGGCCTGGTGTGGTCTTCCAGAATATTCTCAACAAACCAGACGTCTTGTATTCCCCCATGGCAAGCTCTAGTCTTTATTTCCAATCTGTTGCAAACTCTTGAATTTTTACTTTTACAGTAAAAATGAATTACTAGAGCAGGGGTCCTCAAACTTTTTAAACAGGGGGCCAGTTCACTGTCCCTCAGACTGTTGGAGGGCCGGACTATAGTTTAAAAAAAAACTATGAACAAATTCCTATGCACACTGCATATATCTCATTTTGAAGTAAAAAAACAAAACGGGAACAAATACAATATTTGTATTTGCATGTGGCCCGCGGGCCATAGTTTGAGGACCCCTGTACTAGAGAAATGAACATTTTAAAACTGAAGACATAAAATACACCTCACCCCCACCCCAGTTTTTATTGTGAGATTTGACATAACATTCCAGGGATCCAGAAATCTTGAGTTTCGTATGCCACTTCCCAACTTGCTAAGTGTTTATAACAGACAAGAAACCAAAAGAACACGTCTGCTGTCTGGCTATGGCCAAAGGGTGACCAATTTACAAATCCTGAGCTAGGTCATCTGCAAAGCTCTTCTGCCTTCAGAGCCAGATCCCCAAGCAGCTCTCTGCCCTCAGTCTCCCCAGAAATGTGCCTGGATGTGTCCACACCAGAAACCCTGACACAAAGGGCACCTGGGGCCCAGTGCTGGGCATCCTGGGGACGGGACCCTGCGGAAAGCTCCAGGCTCAGCACAGCACAGGCAAAGGGGAGCAGCTGGGCAGGCGGCCATTGCCGGGAGCTGCTCTTCTCCGTGGGCCCCTTTGGTGCCCCAGAGCCAGGCTGTCCTGGGCGGTTAGGCCAGCTTCACAGGTGAGAGACAGAGCTTATTGAGTGGCTTAGCTAAGGCCCGGACAGGAGGCGGTGGATCGGAAGGGATTGAAAGCAGGTCAGACTGCATTCTGCTGCAGCGCTTCCCAGGGCGGAGGAGAGGCGAGCCAGAAGGACGGACTGGGTCTCCTCCCAGGAGGAAGGAGGAAGGAGGAAGGGAGAGGGGGACCTGAGAGTCAGTTCTGGGTGTGGAAACCTTGCTGTGGTGTCAAGACTTTCCCGAGTGAGGCAAGCCCCGAGAGACCCACCCGCACCCTGGCCCGGGGCTCAGTTGGTTGGGCGTTGTCCTGGGCAACAAAAGGTTTCAGGTTCAATTCCGATTCCGGGTCAGGCCACATACCTAGTTGCCAGTCCATCCCCAGCCGGGGAGCCTATGGGAGGCAGCCGATCTCTGCCTCTCACAGCTCTCTCTCTCTCTTTCTCTCTCTCTCTCTCTCTCTCTCTCTCTCTCTCTCTCTCTCTCTCTTTTTCTCTCTCTCTCTGTCAGTGAAAACATAACCTCAGGTGAGGATTAAAGAGAGAGAGAGAGAGAGAGAGAGAGAGAGAGAGAGAGAGAGAGAGAGAGAGAGAGACTCCTGCATATTCTAGAAGAATAAAGACCAGGAGTTAAAGACTGACAGTGTGAACTGCAGAGAACCAAAGGATCAGGGGTCACCACAGGATCATGTGGGGCGGGGACCAAGTGCTGCAGGGGACTGGCTCCAAATCCACCTCATCTCCCGTCTCAGGAGAACCCCTCTGTCCCTGCAGACCCACCCTGCGTCCCATCTGTAAAAGGATGGATGGACTTCGGCATGTCTCTCCTCCAGGATGGTGCATGTGCTGCTGGCGATTGCATGTGGCTCCTCATGGGGAATTATTTTCCCTTTTAAATTTGAATACTCATGTGTCCATTTTCATGTGAATTAGAAAACAATGACAATGTCCCCAAACCTGGCATTTCACCATAAGGAGAGCAGCTGACCCTCAGCCAGTGCTTACTGTGGGCAGGCACAGTCTGAGACAACAGCAACTCACTAACATATTAGGATCCCGTGGATGCTGTCATCGTCCTCTGTTTACAGAGGAGGAAGACGAGGTCCTGAGAGGCGGTCACATGCCCAAAGTCACCTTAGTGCGTGGCAGAGCTGGGTTCAGGCCCAGGCAGCTGGCTCCAGGGTCTTGCTTCTGGCCTCTCCTCTATTTTTGCTTATACTGAGGGGAGATCAAGGAGAAGAAGGGCATAGGAGGTGTGACACCGCTCACTGGGAAGGTGGTAAGCCGGTGACAGAATGGTCCTCCCAAGGGTCAGAGTCAGGCGGTCTCTGAGGGCCTGTCTAGCTAGGGGGTTCTATAATGTCACGAGAAAATGCCAGGCTGGAATTCTACGTTAAGTAAGCTTCTTTGTAAAAGTATGTTTACATGTTTAGTTGTTTACATAGTCAACACTATATAAAAAGGTCTACACATCTTTCTTTCTAATTCTCACCTGAGAATATGTTTATTGATTTGAGAGAGAGAGAGGAAGGGAGAGAGAAACATCGATGTGAGAGAGAAACCCACCCGTTGCCTCCCTCACGCACCCCGACCAGGGATAGAACCCCCAACTGGCGATTGTGCCCTGACTGGCAATCGAACCCGAAACCTTTTGATGTACGGGGCGATGTTCCGAGTAACCGAGCCACCTGGCCAGGGCTGGAAATCTGTTTGTATTGGCGCCACCAACACCCCAGTAGTTCCTGTGTGTTCTGCTTTGTGCAAATACAAGCAAAGAGAACATACCTTCTTCCGTGTTTCCTGAATCCAAAAGGCAGCAGCACACTGTCTACCTGCCTCGATTTTGTTCCCTTATCAGCATAACCTTGAAAACTGTCCCTGTCGGCCAGGGAGGGCTCCCACATTCCTCATTCCTTTTGCCCTGTGGAGCATTCCAACTCAGACATTCCTTTTTGTAGCCCCTCCCTTACTGATAGGCACCTGGGTCATCCTACCTAATAATAAACAAACAGGGTAATTGACTGTACCTTCGCTATGCTTCCCATTGGCTAATCAGCGAGATATGCAAATTAACTGTCAACAAAGATGGTAGTTAATTTGCATACGTAGGCGCAAAGCGGCAGAGCGAAGACTGAAGGCAGCTTTGGCCGGAGCAGCGGGAGCAGCGCAGTCTTGAAGGCGGCTCCAGCCGGAGCAGCGAAGACTGAAGGCCTCTAGTTTTCTATATTTTGCTATTACCAGCAAGGCCACAGGAAATAGAAACCTCAGGCAGGCATGGTTTCCTCCGGGGCAGGTAACCTTTGGGACAATCTCCTGGCGAGAAATGGCACCTTGGAGTCATTGTTAATTGACATTTCCCATGAATGAAGGTGATCATCTTTTCCCATGTTTAAGACTTACTTGTACTTTTCCTCTGAACTTTTCCTGTCCTTTACCCACCTCACTATAGGGTCTGTCTATTCTTTTCTAAAAACTCTTTAAGTATCAGGAAGAGGAGCCTTTCGTCTGTGATTTACATTGCAAATACTTCCCCCCAGGGTGTCATCAGTCTTCTGATCTTGCTGTTGCATTTTTTGCAGGGAGTACTTTGTTGTTGTTTTAATCCTCACCTGAGGGTATGTTTTTACTGACTGTAGAGAGAGACAGAGCTCCCTGACCAGGGATTGAACCTGCAACCTAAACACGTGCCCTGGTGGGGAACCTAACCGCAACCTTTTGGTGGACGGTGTATGGGATGACGCTCCAGCCAACTGAGCAACCTGGCCATGGCTTTTGTTGGTTTTTTCTTGTTTGCTTTTCTGTTTTGATATTTACCCAGTTGAATGTATCAAGCTTTTCTTTGGTGATCTCTGGCTTTACAAGTCATGGTTAAAAAGTCTTTCCTACTGGAAGGTTCGTTATAAAGGAATTTGTTCATGTTTCCTGCTTAGAAAAAACAGCAACAAGCCCACTGTTCATGAAGGGAATGATATGAGAAAACTATGGGCCTAAAGCCCAGGCTTTTGCTACCAGGGGTGGGGAACCTTTTTTCTGCCAAGGGCCCTTTGGATATTTATAACATCATTCTACAAAATTATCAACTTAAAAATGTGCCTGCTATATTTGGTCAAACATTTAATTAACTCACCCCTAACGCCTTGTCAGGGCCAGACCACATGATTTCTCGGGCCTTATGCAGCCTGTGGGCGGGACATTCCCCACCCCTGACCTAGATAGTGAACCTGACATCTCACCTGGTCTTTTGCTCTGTAGGCCCTGCTGCAGGCTGATCTGGGAGGTGGCAGCCTCTGACCCAGGACAGGTATCACCATGGCCCTCCTGATACACCTGCTTGTCTGCACCTTCGGGATGGGCTCCTGGGTGGCCATCAACGGGATCTGGGTGGAGCTGCCCCTGCTGGTGACGGAGCTGCCGGAAGGCTGGTACCTGCCCTCCTACCTCACGGTGACCATCCAGCTGGCCAACGTCGGGCCCCTCCTCTTCACCCTGCTCCACCACTTCCGGCCTGGCTGCGTGTCCGAGGTGCCCATCATCTTCGCCGTGCTGGGTGTGGGCACCATTGCCTGCACCCTCTTTGCCTTCCTCTGGAATGTCACCTCCTGGGTGCAGGGCAGCCTCCGCAGCATCACCTTCATGGTCCTCACCTTCTTCCTGGCCCTGGTGGACTGCACCTCCTCCGTCACCTTCCTGCCCTTCATGAGCCAGCTGTCCACCCACTACCTCACCACCTACTTTGTGGGTGAAGGACTCAGCGGCCTCCTGCCTGCCCTGGTGGCTCTTGCCCAGGGCTCGGGACTCACTACCTGCGTCAACGTCACCGAGACACCTTATAACACCTCAAGCCCTAGCATCGTGAGGAAGACCGGCATCCCACAGGTACCGACCCCACCCCGAGCCGGTGCAGCGCTCAGCACTCCGTCACGGCAAGGCCATGAGAAGGGCTCTGGTTTCCGAAGTGTAGGGGGGCCCCTTGCCCTTGACCTGGCTACACCTTAGCTTACCTGGGAGAGCTACTGAAACACACTACTGGGGCCTCCACAGCCAGACCAATTAAATGAGACGCTGAGCATGGGGACAATTGTTTTCTGAGTTAAACACCCATTGGTAGGGAGCCATATAGAACCACGAGGCTGTCTTGGGTTTTCCATGGCCCCGGCTATTTAATTTATAAGCGTTGTTTAACCACACAATTACCCTAGAAGTTTGTTCATTGTTTATCTCACAATACTTTCCACGCCATTTAACATAGAAGCAGACCTTCGAGGTGCTCCAGTGAACCTCCGGAACACTGCAGGTGTATTCCGACACAGACTAAGATTTTAACCCTTAAAACCGCAATTTCTAATGAGAACTAAGAAGTAAGCAATTAGCATTCTTTAGCTTAAATTTAAGAAGATATTTTACTCTAGAAACATATTCCGTAGACATCAAATTCAATTATTAACATAAATTTATTTTTGTAAACCCAGGTAAAACATAGGGTGCCCCCCAAAAAATGTATGCACACACTTTGAATAATTCTGAAGTCAGTGTATTCATTTTCAAAATTGAGCTGTCAGCTATTAAAGTGTGTACATTTTGGGGGGGATACCCTGTATAAATATTACATTTAAAATCAATAACTAAAAAAAATGTTCTACTCAAACCAACAGACTTTAACTAACTTTGATGAACTAAGAATTAATCTTAGATCATGAGAACTTGAGAAGCATTTGATTTAGTTTCCATATTTCTGAGAATTTTAGAATCCCCGATTCTTACAAGCGCTTGCCTTTAATGTTAGCAACATCATCCAGAGGTAGAAAATTATTTCACATTTACAACATGCAGAGATGGGCACACTAGTTCATAAAAGAACAGCTGGGTCCCATTCTTTCTGGAGACATTTACAGTTTGTATCTGCGGTTGATGAGACATGTCCCGAATGGCCGTCCCCCTTGTAGAGCGAGGACGGCCATTTTAACCTCAGAGGACTGGGTTGACGCCTAACCAACATCACAGGTGGGTTCATTTAGCTAAATCCTCGTTCCGAAGCTTCGAGAGACCAATTAGATGTGTTTCCCATTCATTCTGCCTCGTTTACAGCCAGCTTTTCCTCATTGGGTGCCCCGGCGTTTAACGTCAGTCCCGAAGGCTCCTCACCTCGGCCACCTCAGCACCAGTGGGAGGCTGGCTGTCATGGGCTTGTTGGCCTTGGAGGTGTGGTTGCCCACGTTCATGTTAGTTTTTTCTTTGAGATCCATAGAGTCTGAACAGACTTTTGAGAAAAAACCAGCCTTTAGGTACACGTGTTCAGACGAGCCAAATGTAGTGAATATCCCTATAGGACCGTGATGGCGAACCTAGGACACGCGTGTCAGAAGGTGACACACGAACTCATTTTTTTGGTTGATTTTTCTTTGTTAAATTGCATTTAAATATATAAAATAAATATCAAAAATATAAATCTTTTTTTTACTATGGTTGCAAATATCAAAAAATTTCTATGTGACACGGCACCAGAGCTAAGTTAGGGTTTTTCAAAATGCTGACATGCCGAGCTCAAAAGATTGGCCATCACTGCTATAGGATATCCCTACATCCCTGTAGGAAATTTTCTTCCGGCCACCCCACAAGATTCTCAGTCACCTAGGAATACCTTCGCAAGGGCCCACAAGGGCCTACCAGGCACCACCAGGACCGCGCCACTTCAAGGCCCAGACCCCCTCTCGGTGGGAACCCATTCTAAGGCCTCCTGCCCTCCTCTTGGGGCTCCCACCAGCTTCCCCCGAACCGGCTGCCCTTCCACACAGAACGGCCCCTGGTGCCCCTCTCTACCCCTGCGGATTCGGGGTCTGCACCACTATTGTCACCCCATTGGCTATTCAGGTCGGGGATGCAAGTATCCTTCCTCTTTTTATGCTTTCTCTTTTTGAACCAAAGAGAGTTCAGGGTCTCATTTAACCAGCCAAGATTTTGTTCAGACTCTCGGTAAGCAATCCAGTTAAAAAGCCAAAATTAGAAGTAGCAACAACCTTTCTTTGCTCTTTCCCTGGGTTACCTCAACCTTTATCCACCTGGAGGATTTTCTAAGAATAGCTCTTTTTTTAATATATATATTTTTATTGATTTCAGAGAGGAAGGGAGAGGGAGGGAGAGACAGAAACATGAATGATGTGAGAGAATCATTGATTGGTTGCTTCCTGCATGTCCCCCACTGGGAATCGAACCCACAACCCGGGCATGTGCCCTTGACCAGAATTGAACCCAGGACCCTTCAGTCAGCAGGTCAACACTCTATCCACTGAGCCAAACCAGCTAGGGCTGGCAGCTCTTTTTAAAAATATATATATATTTTTTACTGGTTTCAGAGAGCAAGAGAGAGGGAGAGAGAGATAGAAACATCAATGATGTGAGAGAATCATTGAACAGTTGCTTCCTGCCTGCCCCACTATGGGAATGGAGCCCACAACTCAGGCATGTGCCCTGACCTGGAATCGAACTGTGACCTCCTGGTTCACAGGTCAATGCTCAACCACTGAGCCACACCAGGCCACATCACCACAAAGTGAGTCGGGGGGGTGGGGGGAAGGAAGAGGGGCTGCTCTCCCACTGGCTGGTCCCCAGCCCGCCCTCCTCTGAACATATATGTAGTTGCCAGCCTTGGAGGGCTGTAGAGTAGGAAGAGGCAGAGCTGAGTCAGAAAGAACCAAGTGGACTGGTTTTGCCACATACTCCCGTGACCCTCAGGTAAGACAATCTGTTCTGACACCTCTGTGCCTTGTAAAGCCGGGGTAATGGTCCCCAGGGCACAGGGCTGTTAGGAGGTGCACACCAGCTGTTGCATGTGAGGTGTGGTGCCCAGGAAGCAGTCGGTCAATATGAGCATTGATTATCATGACTTCCGTTGTTATGTGTATATTATTCATCACATACTAATGAATAATAATGCATCAAATTGGTTGTGTATTATCATTATTAATGATTTCCCCTGTGTCCCAGCGTCACCCAGGGGTCCGATAACCCTTGCTTTGTCTTCCCCAGGGAAATGACAGCACTCCTGTGCCTGGCCTCACGGGGACGGCGCCCACCATGGTCCGTCTGGAAAGCCGCTACCTCCCTGCCCACTTCTCGCCCTTGGTCTTCTTCCTGCTGCTCTCCTTCATGATGACCTGCTCCCTCCTTGCCTTCTTCCTCCTCCAGCGCCACCCCAGGCGCTGTAAGACCTCCACAGAAGACCTCCTCACCTCCCAGGTCACCCTCTACTCTATCCGGCCACTGAAAGAGGACCTGGGCCCCACGGCCCCGGCGGACAGCAGTATGAGCCAGGAGCCCGCGGAGGAGAAAGCGGCCTCCCGCTACCCAGCCCACCTACTTTTCATCTACGGGCTGGTGGCCTTTGTGAACGCACTCACCAACGGCGTGCTGCCTTCTGTGCAGACGTACTCCTGCCTGTCCTACGGGCCGGTAGCCTACCACCTGTCCGCCACCCTCAGCTCCATGGCCAACCCTCTGGCCTGCTTCCTCTCCATGTTCCTGCCGAACAGGTCTGCCGCCTGCTGGCCCCGGGAGCTCTGGTTGGGGATGCACTTCATTTCAAAAACCAGAATTCCAGGCCCCACCGTCAGCTAGAGTGGTTAATAATATGGCTCCTGGAGCCAGATGGCCTGGGTTCAAACTCCAGCTCTGCCCCTAATTAGCTGTGTGATATTGGACAAATCACTCCACCCCTCTGTGCCTCAGGGATTCTTATCTGAAAAATGGGGATAATAATTGTTCTACCTCCGAGGTGGCCGGGAGCAGGAGATGAGCTGATTTTGTAAAGCTCAGAGCTTGGCGGGTCCAGTGTGTCCGCCTTCACTGCCATTGGCCCCTGAGAAGCAGCGACCAGGCAGGAAGTGAGGTTCCATTGACGAATGGGACCCCTGAGGCTCAGAGAAAGGCGGGCCTGCTTACCTGCTAGGATTTCAGCCCTGCCCTCCTGCCTCCAGCCCTTCTCACCCCCACCTGCCTCACCCACCTCCCCAGCCCTGCCCACCCCCACCTGCCACACCCACCTCCCCAGCCCTGCCCACCCCCACCTGCCTCACCCACCTCCCCAGCCCTTCTCACCCCCACCTGCCTCACCCACCTCCCCAGCCCTGCCCACCCCCACCTGCCTCACCCACCTCCCCAGCCCTTCTCACCCCCACCTGCCTCACCCACCTCCCCAGCCCTGCCCACCCCCACCTGCCACACCCACCTCCCCAGCCCTTCTCACCCCCACCTGCCACACCCACCTCCCCAGCCCTTCTCACACCCACCTGCCTCACCCACCTCCCCAGCCCTTCTCACCACCACCTGCCACAGGAGAGAGAATGCGTACAGGAGAGTTAAGACAGAAAATGTCATTTTGCCAGAAAGCTGAATTGTCTTCCTTGGGGCTTAAAAACTGATGGAGGCTGGAGATTTCTGGGGAAGCAGGACCAGAGTTGTGGGACCTGAGATGCCCAGAATGTTAGCAATACAGAATCTGAGAGTCACGGAGTCCAAGAATCCTGGAGCCGAAAGAGTCCTCAGAGGCAGCTGCAGACCCTCGCTCTCACCCGCACAGGGCAGCCTTGGTGTTCTGAACACAGAGCCCAGGGGCAAGACCTCCAATGAAGGAAGGACAGGGCCCTCAGTGTCAGACCTGGACTCGGAATGGAAGGCATCCAAGCTGGTCCAGGCCCCCAGACCCTGCAAGCCTCAGTTATAGACGGTAGCTGAGGCCAGAAGAGAGGGATTCCCGAGGTCACACCCACACCTGCAGTGCCAGTGCCCTGACCAGAGCCGCCTCCTCTCTAGCCCAGCTTCCTGCCTAAGGCTGGGGGTGTTGCGGGAGGAAGTGGCAGCAGGTGAAATATTAGGTAGGGCCCGTGGCCAGGGCCAGACACTGCACGCTCTGCTCCCACAGGTCCCCCAAGGCTCGTTTCCCAGGTGAGGACACTGAGGCTCAGGGACCAATCTTCCAGCCTAGATGGTGGGACTGGGATTAGAACCAGGTCCGTGTAGCGCCGGAGTCATTCTGCCTCTCCTGCTGGGATGCTGGGCCTGCCACGAACGCTCAGGGTGACTTGTCCCTCAGGAGCCTCACTGCCCCGAGGGAGCCTGGTGGCCTGGAAGTTTCAGCCTCTAACCCTGGAGATGCTGACCATTCCATGTGGCTCCTGGGCGGGGGTGGGGGGGCGGGGAGGGGCAGAGGTCAGGCTTTTCACAACTTCACTCACCTCCCCGCTCTGCCCTAGGTCTCTGCTCTTCCTGGGGGTCCTCACCGTCCTTGGGACCGGCTTCGGGGCCTACAACATGGCCATGGCGGTGATGAGCCCCTGCCCCCTCATGCAGGGCCACTGGAGTGGAGAAGTCGCCATCGTAAGTATCTGCTCCCACAGGTGCCCTCACCTAGCCGGGCCTGGGAGACACGGGGTATAGCCCTGTCTATTGAGCAGAGTCTCTGGTTGCTCCCTCGGGAAGCCCCAGGGGGTGGGGGTGGGGGTGGGGAGGGGTTGCTTCTCATTTGGGAGAGGAGACTTGGGAAGCCGAGGTGGGCGGTCCAAGGTAATGGCTCAGCCTCTCCTAGGAAAGCCACACTCTTCCCACCTCGTCTTTGTCAGCAGTGGCTTTCTCCCACAGGCCCTTGACTTGAGCGTGAGGGAGGGAAAACCACTGGGCTCCCCTTTGCCCTTGGGGAGGGGTCAGATCATGGAGTTCCCTTAGCCCTATTAGGTCATCCTACACCTTTGGCCCCTAGGGGTCGCCCCAAAGCCCCCTGAACTCTGCATCTCTCCCACCCTGTCCCTGCAGGTGGCCTCGTGGGTGCTTTTCATTGGCTGCCTGAGCTATGTCAAGGTGATGCTGGGCGTGATCCTGCGCGACCGTAGCCGCAGCGCCCTCTTGTGGTGTGGGGCGGCGGTGCAGCTGGGCTCGCTGCTCGGAGCTCTGCTCATGTTCCCGCTGGTCAACGTGTGGCGGATCTTCTCCTCGGCGGACTTCTGCAGCCTGCAGTGCTCCGCCTAGGGCCTAGGCCAACTGAAAACTGGGGCCCAGGGAGACAAGGCAAGGGCCCAAGGTCACTGGGAAAGTGTTGGGGTGAGGGGGTGGTCTCTGAGGCAGAGCCTGAGGACTTGAACCATCAACACAAACCCCCCTCCTTAAGGTGGCTGATTCCACAGGCCTCCCAGGGAGCCTGGAAACGCAGAGCACAGCCCGCCCCAGCTCTGAGTCAGGTGCTTGCAATTCCACTCTCTCAGGGCCTCCTTCCCTCACGCTTGGGAGGGAACTGACTTGGGGCACCCAGCTGGAGGCGGGCTCTGACCAGCTGTGCGACCTTGGGGAGTCACCTGATTTTTTTGTGCCTATGTTTCCTCATCCATAAAATGGGGATTGTAATACATAGCACCTACCTCATACAGCTGACAGAGGGCTGAAAGGGAGACACCCGTGTGTGGCAAAACCGCCTGGGCCACTTCCTGATCTGACGCCCAACAGTAATGAGAAGAGTGACCACAGTGGCCAGGGCTTGAGAGACGACCCCTGCCCCATGTCCCTTCCCCACTGTCCTCAGAGGAGCTTCTGGAAGACACGGCTAATGGGGGAATCTCGGGGAAGGGGTCCCTGATTCCCATTATAGAGGGACACTCACCCCTTCCCATCATCCCTCCTGACCCATGACCTCCTGAGAGGCAGAGAGAGGTGATGGGGGAGGGGCGACACCAAGTGCCCACCCCCAGCTCAGCAAGGCTGACCACTGGACCCCGAGGACCCCAGGACACAGGTCTGCCATCTGGGGGGCGGGGGGGGCGTTAGTTACCTGACTGTTGTTTTACCTGATTGTTGTTTTTTATTTTACTTTTTGTGTGTTTTTTAAAATAAAGGCATTCCCTGCTTTTACACTAAGGTCAGCCTTCCAAGAAAAAGCCCACCATGAACCCTGAAAATGTATCAATATAATTCGCGTTCAGTTGGCTTCAAGGTCAAGACTGAGCTTAGAAACGAACAGAATCAAATGCTTAGAGAATGTCTGCATCTGGGATTTCTTTCCTTCGTGGTTTGTTTCGTTGGCTTGCTACCACCCCTTCCTTTTATTTTTAATAGATAGTATAGTTACATGTTTCGAAAATCAGAAAATATACAATGGTGCTCAGCAAAAAAAATCCCATCCCTCTTCTCTCCCCCATCCGCCCAGTTCCTCTTAACACACACGAGCACTTTTTCTTTGTCCCTTCATTACTCTTCCAGAGCTCATGCCAATGTAAGGAAACACAGTCTTTACAGAAAAAAATATGAACTACTTTGAAGCTTGCACTTTGACTCAGCAGTGACAGCAAAGAGAGCATTTTTTGTTCTTTGTCAGGACTGCATAGTACTCCCTGTGTGGAGATGCCAATTCACTTAGCCAGCCCTCTGCAGGAAGATGTTTGAAGGTGCTGGAGACAAAATTCATTTTAACACGTTAAACGCCATGTCCGTCACTGGTGACGGACACCATACTTTCCGTCCGGACCGGTCGGTCACTGGTGCCGACAGCGTATCGGTGAAATCGGTTATCGCGGGCTCAACGGAAAGGAAGGCAAAACAGGCGTGGCGCTTAACGTGTTAAAGTCTCCCACTAACCCAGAAAGCCTCTCCACAAAAGTAGAAGAGAAAGAAAACAGTTTTATTACTGAATAAGCATTAAACCGATTGCGGTGCACATCACAGGCAGTCTGCCCATGACATGCAAAGGCGGGGAGGAACCCCTCTCTTTTCTATACAAGCAAATACAACTGATTACACCTGCGGTAGGGCCGGACAGCACCATTTGTCACAGTTCATCCTGAATTCGCCTGTTTGGGGTGGCTCTGTGTTAGCTGTCCTTATCCACAGGGGAAAAGAAACTTGTATCTTTATGGGGGAGACTGTTTTGCAACTGGAAGACTAGCATGCAGGGGAGAGGGTGCTGGGTTTTCTACAGTAAATGCTCTAGAAAAGGGAGAAGGGATGTCTCCCTCCTTAGCACGGAGAGTTCTCCCATTCGTGTTCGCCTCCAGCAGGGCGTGCCCTCGCAGAAAGAAGGCTGGAGTCGATAATGAGCAAGAAGTTCTCTGCTGACGCAGGCAGATGCTCCAAGATTAATGACACACACGGAGAGCAGACGCAGAGGAGCGCGTACAGTCCAGAGCTGGTCACACTCACATCTGCTGCCAAGGACGAGGTGAGAAGGCGAGCGATAGGATATGGAAAAGGCGCCTTCGCTTCACGCCCCTCTCTGTGGTTTTGCTTTCTCTCACCCTCCGTGGGAGTCTTGATGGCATGACAACCTTTCAGTTAGCCTGGTCTCCTCCGCTGTACAGTGGGGATGATAAAAGCACCTCCCTCCCATTTTGTAAGGCCTTTTTGTTTTTCAGTGAGCATCTTCTAATGCTTCAGACATAGGGCCTGTGCCTCTGTGTGTGTCCCAGGCCCTGCAAATGGGGTCATGTGCTAGCAGTGGTCCAGGTGGGGAATGACCCAGCCAGAGCCCCCCGAAAAATGGACCACAGAGTCAGGGCACAGACCCTCGCTCTGAAGCCAGGGTTCTTTCTAATGAACTGATGGCATAGGACCAAGGTACCACACTGCACATTTATCCTGGAGGAAGTGGCCAGGAACTTGGAAATGGAAAATCAGGCCGGGACTTTAAGGAGAGGCCCTCAGAGTCATCGGAAAGAGAATCCATAGGGATTACACCACACGCTTCCTTGGGGTTGGTCAGCACGGGAATGCCCCCCAAAAAGGGAGCATCTACCCTTCATCCTCACTGATGTCCACCACGGTGACCGTCAACCTGATGGCCCTAAGGAGCCTTCCCACTGCCGCCCTTCCTGGTTGGCCAGATGCCAGGCCACATTCCTGTGGTCATCTGCTGAGGAAGGGCCTCCCCAAGCCCTGGGTTCTTCCTGAGACTTTACTGAATTCATCTCACAGGAGCCCTAAAAGTACTTTCTATGATTACAAGCACTATTTTGCAAATGAAGAAACGGAGGCACAGAGAGGTTAAGTGTCTTGGCTGAGGTCACACAGCCAGTGAGTGGCAGAACCAGGCCTTGGACCCAGGCCACCTAGGCTCTGTATTACTTGATATTTCTGTGTCAGAGGCATGAGCCTCAAAGCATGTGAACTAGTCAAGAAAACCTTGGCTTCAGACGGAGATAAAGGGCCTCCCTGGCTCATTGTCTTCTGGTTTGAAATAAAAATAGAAAACTTCACCCCGGTTGGGTAGCTCGCTTGGTTAGAGCATGGTCTTGATATGCCAACGCCGTGGGTTTGATCCCCAGTCAGAGCACATGCAAAAATCAACCGATGAATGCATAAATAAGTGGAACAACAAATCGATGTTTCTCTCTCTCTCTCTCTCTCTCTCTCCCTCCCTCCCCCCCCCCCGTCCTCTCTCTAAAATGAATAAATTTAAAGAAAGAAAGAGAAAGAGATAAATAGAAAACTTCAATCCAGTCCTATGGTCTCCACTCCATAACACACACACACACACACACACTCAAATTCCTCTGGAAGTGAAAAGAAGGAATGAGAAATTAGTGCTTTTGTAGCAGGATGTGACTTACACACACACAGTCTAATGTATCACTTTAAGAATGACTAGCAGAGGGGCTGAAACCCGCTCACCAGAGAAGGTCTGTCACACACCTTGTCTTGCAATTCTGGTTTTGCAATGGGATGGCCTTTTCTGATTCTCTCAATATATTTATCAAAGGTCAAATCTGGGGGAAGTGCCCTGGCAAACGAAATGCCTTTCATTTGGAAGTTGCTGGGAGCAGCTGGCTGCTGGGTGTGCCTTAAGAAAGTTGCTCTATTACACCTTGTAGTTTGGCCCGGGGGAAGGAGGGTTTGTTCTCTCACAGGGTTCAATGGTTAGAATGAAAGATAAGATACAGAACTTTCTCTTTTGCTGAGGAGAGATATTATTATTGAGAGAATGAAGCCCTGCTAGTTGCTATAAAGTCCACTTTCCTGTTTCTTTATAGTCATAGAGCCCCTGACGTTTAGCTGGCACATGGGAGCCCAGAGTAAAGAACACATTTCCTGGGATTCCCTGTGGCTATCAACGGCCATGTGTTTACATTCAGACAAACATTGCCAAGAATAATGTGTATGACTTCCAGGTTGTGTACTTAAAAGGCAGAAGCAGGACCTCCACTTCCCATTTACCCCTTCGTGCCGGTGGGAATGCAGATGTGATGGCTGGAGCTGGAGCAAATGTCTTAGACTCTGAGGAGGAAGCCAGAGGTCAAGAATAATAAAACATAGTAAGAGCCTGAAATCATGGCTTGTGAGCCACCATTCCTACTGGGACCCAGATTTAATGTGACAGAGAAATAAGCTTCTATGTGGTTTAACAGCAGAATTCTCATATCCTTAAACGTGCGTTCCACTATATACAGAGAGAGGTGCACACACACACTCACACACACACGATCACACTGGAAGGGGACTGGAATGATATATATAAAAACATTAGCCCAGTGAACCCGGAGAGAGGGATACCTGTGGTTTTCTTTTTTTCTTCTTGACACTTCGCTGTGCTCTCCAAGCGTGTGTTATTTTAAAGCTCAATAAAGTCTAAAGAAAGGAAGGCTCCTATAAATAGATCCTATTGTTTAAAATCACCTTCATTTGCTTCCTATTCCAAAGATCACACACACACACACGCACACACAGATCTTACGGAATAGTGGGCTTTGTTTCCTGTGGGTTACAGAACTTTTTTTCAGATGTTCTTTCTACTGAACAAAACGTCTTGGGGATGGTTCTGTGCCCCTGTGCATAGGGTGACCTTATTTCTTGTAACCACCACAAAGCCCTTTCTGAATGGCCTTTACTGAATGGTTTCCGTTGATGGAAATCTATACTGTTTCCAATTTTAAGCTACTGAAAACACACACACACACACACACACACACACACACACACACACGCAGTAATGAAAGTCCTCAGGCCTGCCTCTCTGCATCTATACAAGGCTTTGAAGCCTCACAAACTTGGGTTTTAATCTGTGTGACCTCAACTTACTGTGCATCCGAGTCTCCATCTCCTCCGCTGTAAAATAGGGAAAATAATGAAGCTTGCGCCGTGCAATTATTGTGAGGATAATAACGAATAAAATGTAGCATGTGATTTCTGCACGTCAGGCACTTTTCTAAATGCTTCCCATGCGTTAGCTAAGGTCATGCTCACCAGGGTGAGGGTGAAAGATGTCCTGAACGTTTTCTAGAAGCTTCCAGCTTTCACACAACCAGCAGGAAATCCTCTGGCTAAAGCTTCCCATGGAGCCCTTCCACAGTCTTCTTCGAAGTGGTGGTTAGAGAAGACACTTGTATGATTTCAACCTTTTAAAGTTTATCGAGATCCATTCTGTGGCCTAACAAATGGCCGACCCTGGAGAATTTTCCATGTGCATTTGGGAAGCAGGTGTATTCTGCTGTCACTGGGAGTGTTCAATAGATAGAAGCCTTTCAGGTTCAGTTGCTGACAGTGTTGCTCAAGCCTTCTATTTCCTTCCGGACCCTCTGCTTAGATGCCCTTTCCGTTGTTGGGAGTGGAATGTCAGTGTGCCCGCCTGTTACTGAATTCTCCGGCTCTCCTTCCAATTCTGTCCATTTTTGCTCTGTATACTTTGGGGCTCTGCTGTGAGGCGCACACATGTTTCTGCTTTTTACATCATCCTGATGGACTGACCCTTTGAACATTCGAAAGTATCCTTCTTTATCTCTTGTAACATATTTTGTTTTAAGGTCTGTTTTTTAGACACAGACAACAGTGTGGTGAATGCCAGGGGGAGGGGTGGTGCTTAGGGTATATATAGGGAGGGATAAATGGTGATGGAGGGAGACTTGACTTGGGGAGGGGAACACACAATACAG